TACCAATATTTGCTGGTCCGAGCTAGTTTTACCTGCTGGTAGCGGCATGTGGGAGAGGTTTACCACATCAAGACAGACAAATGCAGGTACAATAACACAAACAGTGCCTTTGCAATCTTTGAAATCACTGTCAAGATAAATCGGGTGCAGTATTTTCTGAAGAATGGGTCTATTTAAGGAAGCTTCATACTCTGAAATCAAATGCAAAATATCCGCAAGAGGTTAAATTCCTGTGTGCACGGGCATTAAAGGGTAGAATGACAGGGGTTAACCTAGCCAAGGCATCACAACCCTCTCCCGGGTCAAGCACACACTGGGCACCTTTCCACAGAGGAACACACAGAGAGGGTCTTGTTCTGCGGCCCATGTGCGGGTCAGCGCCGGCAGGTAGGAGTGAAATGATAGGCCTCCCCAGAGACACAGCACAGAGGAGGCACTGTTTCCCAACAGCTAAAGCATCCACCGGAATGCAATATGGGGCGGCAGGTAACATTCAGTTCACCGCATACCTTTATCAAAAATCTTTAAATCTCAGGAAAGCCCCCGCCCGCCGTCTGACACTTTGGTGGGAATTCAGAAACAGGGCGGATAGAGAGGTGGACCTGACAGGCATCAAACTGAAATAACGGATTTGTTTTTGTGAGAAGGGAGAGTCGGGTGTTACTTAGACAGAGTTTGGTCTGCCCGCTACTTGAATCCAATTGAGGGGTTGGCACAGAATACCTGTCCTAGATATGTTAATATGGATGTATAATGGTTGATTGGTTCATCCTGTGCATTGAGCTTAAAGGTGGGGTAGATAATTTTGGAGAAACCAGCTCTAGTGCGCTAGAATTTGAAAATACACAACCGGAAAAGATCTGCCACTTCCTTACAGAGCCCCTCCTCCAACACAAACGAACGCGCACAATGACCAATGAGGGCACGAGATAAGTTTGTGCACAGATGGAAGGCTGACAGGCAGGTAGGCCATCCAGTTATTTTAGCCGGGCCGGCTCAGATGATTGGTCGTGCTTTTTACAGCGCCACGGCTTCCACAGATGACATTTTTTTTAGGGCTGTCAGTCGATTAAAAATATTTGATCGCGATTAATCGCATGATTGTCCATACCATAGTTAATCATTTTGTGTCTGTTCTAAATGTACCTTAGAGGGATATTTTTCAAGTTTTTAATACTCTTATCAACATATGAGTGGACAAATATGCTTTATGCAAATGTTTGTTTATTATCATTTGAACAATGACAAATATTCTCATGAATATTAAACACAACAACCTCTGAACATTAGAAATATCCGCCTCAATTCAACCTGGAACCTCTCTCATACAATACAAAGTGTGTATGTGTGTGTGTGTGTGTGTGTGTGTGTGTGTGCGCGCGCGTGCGTGCGTGCGTGCGTGTGTGTGCGTGCGTGTGTGTGCGTGTGTGTGTGTGCGTGTGTGTGTGTGCGTGTGTGTGTGTGTGTGTGGAGAGACACTGTGATGGATCGTTGGAGCTATGTGCAACTCAGGGCATGTGCTCGAACGGGAGCTGCCTGAATGCTGCAATCATGTTGCGCGCACTATCCGTGCTGAGTGTGCTGACTTTTCGTACAATGTCCCACTGTCTGGCTGCCTGCATAAAGTCAAGTGCTCGGCGAAGTTGTCGACAGACCCTGTCGAAATGTCGCTCCTCTGTTTTCATTGAAACAGCTCCTTATATCTGTTAGCGCAGCTTGCTAGCACCAGATGCTAACAACGCAAGCTGCGCTAACAGATATAAGGAGCTGTTTCAATGAAAACAGAGGAGCGACATTTCGACAGGGTCTGTCGACAACTTNAACAGAAATGGGTCGCTGTACTGGCATAGAAGCCTCTGTTTGTTGGGTGGCGCCAGAGAGCGAGATGGCAGGCGTCAGGAGCATCGACGAAGAAGAAAAGTTTCTAGCAGTGGAAACGGTGGCCTGAGATGACACCGCTGGAAAGGGGGGCATGTGGAAATAGAGTGGAAATAGTCAGGGAGATGTCTGAACAGCGTTCTGCATGTTAGCCGCTATAGCATGCGACTACTCAATAGTGAATAACATTTCAAATGTATAATTGTGGTAAACATTTCCGTGTAGGCCTAGTCATAATATAAGTAGCATTTCACAAATGTTTTTTTTTCTTTTAACTTAATCTTCCAGGTGTGTGTGAGTTTTGTTTTTAGTTACAACAATAGTAATTGGAACTCCATAAGATGGATTTTATCCATGTTCAGTTCATTGTTTTGGTTCTCTCCTTTTATATGATCCAACTCCAACAGCTTTTGCTAACCACCCCAAATAAGACCTCAAGCAGCCACGCCCAGCCCATTAGCTCAGATTTAAAAGCCTTTGTTGTCTATAAGCCAACATATCAACTATTCAGGTATTGGCTGTTGCCAGCTAGCATATTATGCAACATTTCTTTACAGTGTATTTCCTTTGTACAGCTGAGGACGTGTGTGGCTATTCAGAAGTCTACAACACCAACAAGGGCAGTTATTCCATAACTGTGGAACTCTGTATTCAATAGCATCACTAAAATATGTGACAGAACAGAGATATTCCTCTGGAAGAAAGTTATTTTTGTGTGCATGTAACTATTACAAAGCAACAACATTGTGAACAACAGACCGTGTTGAAATTGACTTGAGGAGAGCTCGTTCACGTAGGCTGATAGTCGTTAGCTGTTAGCTAGTTGATAGCTGTTAGTTGTTAGATGTTAGTTGTTAGCTGTTAGCTGTTAGCTGCTAGCAGCAAAGGGGGAAGCACAGTCCTGCTTAGCTAAATAACAGAGCTAACTCTTTACTTAATTCCATTGTGCTTGTGTAGCTACCCCATGTTTTACTGTAAAGCACCATTTGCCTAAACATTAATATATTATTTTGTATTCATATTATTTGGATATTATGTAATAAAGTTGTAGGTGAATTTAGAATTCTGGGATTTTTATTTTCCCTTATTAAACATAATTTACTTTTGCACAAATAAACGCATAGGCCTACTTATATGAGATCAGGCCCAGTTGTTCATGTGTCTTCATTTTAACCTTGTAAGGTGGTAGTAAGTACGTTTTAAAATAAATAAATAAATGGTGTTATTATAACAAAGGTAGTTGAAGGTGGGGTATGTAATTTATTTCGGAAACACTTTTTGTTATATTCCATGGAATGCTCTTAGCATCCCGATACCAATGAATATATGAAATGCTTTGACAATAAATCCATAAAAAAAAATTATCTGTGGAAGCCGTAGCGCTGTAAAAAGCAAGACCAATCATTTTAGCCGGCCCGCTAAAATGATTGGATGGCCTACCTGCCTGTCAGCTTTCCATCTGTGCACAAACTTATCTCGTGCCCTCATTGGTCATGTTCTTGTGTGTTGGAGGAGGGGCTCTGTAAGGAAGTCTGAAGGAAGTGGCAGATTTTTTCTTTTCCGGTTGTGTATTTTCAAATTCTAGCGCACTAGAGCTGGTTTCTCCAAAATTATCTACCCCACCTTTAAGCTCAATGCACAGGATGAACCAATNGGTGTGTGTGTGTGTGTGTGTGTGTGTGTGTTAGTGTGTGTCTGTGTGTGTGTGTGTGTGTGTGTGTGTGTGTGTGTGTGTGTGTGTGTGTGTGTGTGTGTGTGTGTGTGTGTGTGTGTGTGTGTGTGTGTGTGTGTGTGCGTGTGAAAAGCAGCGCTTTCTGCTTATTTGCAATGTAGTCTAGGCCTAATCAGAATAATTTCAAGTCCATATTCAATGTTGTTTGCATAAGTAGGCTATATTTTTCGTTTTGTTTATTTAATAAGTTAATTTCAGGACAACTTTGGGAATTTTGTTTGTTTGTTATGAGTTTTAAATAGATTTGGAGAGAGAGAGATCTGCTTAGTTGCAATACTGTAGCTTATGCAATTTAGGCCTATAAATTGTTTATGTAATTTATGTGCCAGTGTGTCCATGGTTTTGAGTCTGTGTGTGTGTTGAGCGCAGCGCCATCTGCTTTTTGCAGTACCGTAACTAGGACTAAGCATACCGGTAGTTTCTGTTGACCTGTCTGCCCGTTTTGTGATTTCACTGCGCGCGTGCACACTTGTGTGGCATTGTCTGGGATGACCTAATTAAAATAGCGTCCCCCCAGTAAAAAAATCCCCACTACACCACTGCATACAGACAACTGTAAATAGGATAGCAGCGAGAGGAGATTGAATTATTCCACTCAGGAAAAGTTATTTCAGTCCTTTTTCATTTTCTGTTAAAGGCTCAGCAATGGAACTCAATCCCATCTACAACCAGAGACCAAACTAAATTCAGTTTATCTAAATCCCAATTCAAAACATGGTTAGTGAGGAATCAGCTCTGTCAACAGTGATCTTCTTCTGCACCTTACAACCCACTGTATGTCTACACTGCCTGTGTTTTATCATGTTCTTTTACTTTTTTTGTTTTGTTTAATTTGTTTTGTTTTATTGTTTTAATTTTTTCATTAATATTTCCAGTACTGTATGTTGCATGTTTTTTTATTTCTTCTTGGCTTAGTTGGCCAACTCATTTACAGAAATGTTGATTAATGTGCACTGTCCCTGTTAAATAAATAAATCAAATAAACATCATTAATACAAAACTGTAAAGTAACTAAAGGTATTAAATATATGTATTGGAGTAAAAATACACCATTTGTCTCTGAATTGTAGTGGAGTAGAAGAATTAAAAGTAATTTAATTTAATATTTATTTCCATCACGGATTTTGGGGAACATAATTCCAGTCATTTCTGACTCGTCCAGAAACTCAGACATCCAGTCACGTTAGTCTTTGTGCGGCTTTTATTTTGAAAAGCCCAGTGTATTGTAAAGGGGAGGTCCATCAGTCTGCCTCACAGAGCTGCCCCTCTGCGGCTGCAGAGCGGCGAGATCTGCTGGGCTCCTGTCCTCACAAAGGTCGTCTTCATTCAGTCCTGATGGGTGTGAGGAGATGATGTGTCGGCGGGGATGCCACCATCAGGGTGCCGCACAGCCTGGAGACTGTTCACCCCACAGGATCGGGATGTTCTGAGCTCCAACTATGAACGAGCTGCAACAGGATCCGAGGAATACAGGCAAGTTTTCAAAAGCTGCGGAGAACTCCTGAGGTCTGTTAGAGTATGAGAGAAACGTTACTGTGAGTCCTGTCACTGAGGCAGACAGTGTGGAGGAATGCAGCAGACTGTCTGTAGCCCCCATACAGCAGCAGTCCATCCTTAAGGTACATATATAATTATAACGCATTCTTTCTGTCGATTGAACAAGCTCTGGGTTTTTCTCGCATTGATTTGATTGGAGATGATGTCAGACGGGGAGCTGCCTTATCAATAACAGCTTGTGTTGCATCGCAACTGTAAGGCATTGTCTCCATACATTGTGTCTTTCTATTCACATCATGAAGCACAACATGTGGCTCCCCAGGAGTGAACTGGCTCCAGATCAGCTTCCTCTGCTGGCTGCAAGCAGGATCTGAACAGAATGAGAATGAGCCAATGCAGTGTGTGCAAAAACACGGAGGGGAAACAAATACTCCACATAAGCAAAACCACTGCGATAAAATATATATATTTTACAGACTGGAGACACTCTTTTTCTCCAGTGTGTGTTCTCTCTGCTCCATCCATCCTGTGTGTGTCAGTCTGCGAGCAGCACACTGTGTTGTCCTGCTGCTTTCATCTGTGTTACTGCAGTCAGAATCCAGGAGGATAGGAGCATACAGATGGAATACTACTGTTGTATTAATATTTCAGTGTTTCATCATCTTCTGCACTTATGCTACTGGTGTCCAACAAGATAGCATGATAGTGTGATATGAGGTTAAGCTCACATTAAAGTAATTAAGACATACAAACGTTTCAACTGCATGACTAATGTCTTATTCAAAACAGCTGTACTACCTGTGCTGTGTTTCAGATATAGACAATATAGCTGACCTATGTGATGACACACAGTCAGTGCGAAGGTTAAAATATTCACATTTGTTTTTAAATTGTTAACACTCAGAGTATAGTTGTTCGGTTTGGCTGTATAAAATTATAACATTTTAATTTAATTTAATAATAAATATATTATGGTATTCTGTGTGGGTGCACAGGAAGAGAGAGAGAGATGTGTAAAAATCATTGAGAGAGACATATATATGCTGCTGTGTTGAAAAAAATCTATATATACTAGAAAAAAACGTTATGTTTTTTAAATTGAAATTTTTAAGGGAAAAATATCTTGACATTTCAGAAGCTGGAACTGTGAAATGTTTCTTATGCAAAAACATACTTTTAATTACTATACTTTGTTGTCTTCTGATTTATTTTAATCTACATCACAGTTATGTGGTTATGTGTTGTGTATGTACAAATCTGAATCTATGAGGAACAAGTTAATAAAGCTTCAAAGTAAATGAAGTGTAAGAAAACGTACAATATATTTTATTAGTGGAGTAGAAATATAAAGTTGCACAGAAAGAAGAACTAGTTACATTCCACCACTGTTTATGTAAATATAACAACAAGGTAAATAATATTCAAATTTACCAAATCAAGCATTTAAAATTGCTCTGGGTTTGGGATGAACAGACTGTTAGGATGGATAGGAAAACTCAGTCGAGAGACACAGTTTGACAGTTTTGTAAACTAAATAATTCAGAAGCTGAATAAGATGATGACACTTCCTGAGTCTGAGATATGTTTTGAACCTTTAAAGCTGGGGAGTCAGTGTGCGAAAAAGTACACGTCCCACCGTCCGGGACGTGTTATTTACAATATCGGACAAGTAGATCTTTCAATTGACTTGTCCGGCGGACAAGTGACGTTTTTCGCCCTGATTTATTGACCAATTATTGATAAATTCATTTTACAAAAGGCAGAACTCATTCACAAATTGTAAGTGTCCGCCATTGTTCGTTTATAAATGTTAGTTTCGGTTCTGCTTGTCGATTCCTAAGGAAATGCATCTCGCCGCTTTCTGTACAGTTGGGCGGGGCGGGGCGGGAAGTGTAGCACAGTGGCAGGGTTGGGAAGCAAAACTCGGTTCCGAGTAGTAACAAATAACAATTGTCCGGTCCCGGGATTGATAAGAGTTGTGAGGACAGGAGGCGAGGCCGAGCCCCGCGGACCGCAGCTCTCTCTCTCTCTATGCTCCGCATCAACTGATCGCTGCACGTTGCGGCTCAGCGTCTCTCTCTCTCTCTCTCTCTCTCTCTCTCTCTCTCTCTTTCTACACACAGCGGATCCGCTGCCCGTTTAACAGCCATCTTTGTCAAACTTTCTTATGTTCTTTCTCTAACACGTAATGAAGATTATTAAGCGTTTTAGCTCCTGTGTTGTTAATATTGACCGACATTTCCTTTATGAAGTGAAGCAGCCTCCCTGTCTGTGTCCTCGCGCTGTCCTCACATCCCCGGACACCCAGACTCGGAGGAGCACAGGGATGTCAGTATTGTTTATGAAGCAGGGTATAGAAAGTACATTATTGAAATGAAAATACTATTTATTTACTTTTACAAACAGTGAGCAGCTGGGCAGCTGCAGCATGTGTATTGCAGGACATGTGTAAGCGTGCAAGCGTCTTTGAGTTGTAGAAAAGCGCTAGGCCTATAGCAGGCTATAAATATTATTATTATTATTATTATTAGGCCTATGTGTTGGACATTTGTGGTTGGACTCTGTCTCACAGGAAGGTTGCAGCATGTGTGTTGCAGGACATGTGTTGGACACACAGACTGTGGTTGGACTCTGTCTCACAGGCAGGTTGCAGTGTAACATCAGAGGAGACTGGGCCAATTGTCCATTCTCAAACTGCACCACTTAGAACTAACTAAACAATGCAGAGATTATTTGTATATAATTGTATTTAATAACCGTAAGGAATTAAACAGTATGAAGTGATTTGTAAATAGGAATACAGATTTGACTTAATGTTTTCATAAATATATTTTTCTCCCAGTTTGTCATGGGACTTATTTTTACCCTCTCAAAGAACCGGAATCGAGAACCGAAAATAACTGGTATCGAAAAGCAGAACCGGAATCGTTAAAATCCAAACGATACCCAACCCTATGCGTGATGCAGTAAAATCTTACCGCTCACTTACGTTAGCGGTGTCGTAAAAACCGTGGGAAAATGTAAAATACGATGGCAAAGAAGAAGATTCCAGTGGCCCCAATTTGTGTCCATTCTGGACAAGTGAAAAATGTATTCGGACAAGTAAATTGCCAAACTCACTTGTCCATGGACAAGTACTGTCTAAAAACTTTTTCTCACACTGGGAGTAATTCTCTTTTACCCACTGTTTATATGGAAGGTGTAGATACACTGAATGTTGTGTGGACCTGAAGTAGCATGAGTATTATTAATGTGTTGACATACATAAACAAAAGTGTACTAACAAGGCCATTTTGCTAACTTAAATCTTTTGTATATTTCCCAAATAAACCATTTTGGCTTGCTTAGTTAGTAGTCTCTCGTATTGTAGGTGACAAAAGCGAATTCCGTTTTTGCCTGGGTCTTAATATTTGCAGGGGGAGACGGAGCAGTGACTCAGCGTTGATGTGTGATATTCAGCAGGGTGAGAACGTTTGACTCTGATTGCAACACTCAGGACCTCACAATGTTAGAAGCTGATTTTCCATTTCACCCTGCTTTGTTTATGACAATGTGGGAAGTGGAGAAGAATAGCACATGTGCAAGCGTTTCTTTAATTTAGAATACCTTGTTGAATTTACAAGCTCCACACGGACCAGGAAGGTTTGGAACAGTCTGAGGAATTTCACTCTAATTATTTTCAATGGTGATTAGCATTGGAGAAGGACTGTGCGTGATATACAACCGCTGACTAATGGGGCTGAATACTGCTGGTTTCCAGGCATCCCTGTGTGATGATGACAGACACAAAACGTAACAGAAGGAAAGTATTTGGTTGTATCTACAGCAGACTCTGAATCCAGATGTGTGCTTCATGTGAGAGGCTCTGGGCTCTGGACTCCCCAGGTTTGACGTATGCTTCCTGAATAATTCAGCTGTACAGAGCTGGGGTCGCTGGTGAGATACAACACGTAGACCAGTGGCCTGTACTACGAAGCAGGATTTTCGGTTAGCGAGGTAACTTCAGGGTTAACTCTGGGTTTCCGGTCCTACGACGCTGGTTCACTTCTTACCGGGGTAGATCTCCATGGTAACTTATGCTTAACACCTAACCTGCTCCGGAGCAGGTTATGTTCCAGATAAGAGATCAACTCAGTGAAAGCATCGCCTGCTGACCAATCAGAGCTCAGTGTGCAGAGTTTAAAGCTATCAAGTAATATTACAGGATAAAGGAAATACAGTTTAAACTGCCGCATGCAGGGAAGATGCCGACGTGTCGCACTTATCATTCATATCATATCATCAATAGCATCATCGATCATATCATATCATAATATATCATATATTTCCTTATCTGAGTCAGCTTCTCAAGCCGTATCTGGCCGTGCAACACTTACATTGTCACATACTGTATGCAGAAGTATTATTTTAACCTGATTAATTACTGTTAGTTTTGGAATACCTCAATATCAAATGCATTGAAAACATAACAATAAGATGTTTTTTGCTTTAGTGTATTATGTAAGACATCAGAACAAGGTGACCTTAGAAAAGAAGAAAACCAAGATATTTAATATTAAGATGTGTCCTATTAAAAGGGCCACGTTAGTCTAATTTTCAGGTTCATATTTGTATTTAGTGTCTCTGCTGGGACATGTCTCCATTCTTATATGTCCGGCCGCTCAGTCAGTAGGGGCTTGGACTGGGAGCTAAGGTCGCCGGTTCAAGTCCCAAAACAGAACATATGGAGTGACGACTGGTACTTGGAGGGGTCCCAGTTCACCTCTTGGGCCCTGCCGTGGTGCCCTTGAGCAAGGCACCGGACAACTATTATTTATTATTTCAATTATTATATTATTATTTCAAAACGTATTGCAACATTTTAATCTTGCTAGTAATCCAGTTACCTAGAATCCAGTTACCTTATTTGTATCTGTTAAAAGTAGGGCTGCAACAAACGACTAATTTGATAATCGATTAATCTATCGATTAATGAAACGATTAATCGACTATTCGGACTATTACTGTATGCCTTGCACAATTTCTCAAACGCTCTTATTTAGCCATCAACTTTTAGATTTAGTTTGAGGTTGTTTTAGGCATGTGGAAACTAACACCTAGGGTTTTTATAGGGTTTGTCCGC